TTCTAATATTTTGCCTATATATAGCTCAGACCTCTGTACAGAGGCTCAACTAGAATTTTTGAAATATACAACTTAGAAGTGGATTTATCCATATTTTACTACAACAGAGGGAAAAAATTTTAAGAAATAAATGTCGATAATTATTTCAATGGGTAGTAGCTCTGAAAATAATGTGAATTTTTCAAAAATCCCAGTTAAGACTATTTGGAGAAGTCTGCTTTATATAAGCAAAATATTACAATTTTAGAAGCATTTTTTTATGAAAGTAGAACATTTTGAAAAAAGGTTATTCTAAGTTAATTTTTGTTCAAAATATTGTATTTAAATAATTTTTTTTGACAAAATGTCCTTAAAACAATTTTATGCATGTATTCTAATCTAAGTGACACTAAATATCATGAAAATTATCCATTTATGTGCTTTTTTAAAATCACGGTTCCAAACGTAGTCGTATACCTTAAGTTTCAAAGAATAAACTTATAAAACTTATAATGAACGATTCACTTTTAATGATTTTATACCACAATCAATGCGAATACTTTTGCATTACTGTAGAAAAAAAATTATTTAGAAAATATCATTACAGAAAGGCGAAGACATACGTTAACTAGATTATTACATTAACAATTAACCCCAATTATCCAAGTTGGGTAGCAATTTTCAATATAATGCACTCATTTCTAATATTACACCGTAACAATAAATCAAATTAAGAAATACTCTGCAAACATAAGATTACCTGAAGTTATTAAACCCTTTCCAGCTTGCCATAAACTAATACTTAACTAATCCATAAATCATTCAACTCATTTCTAATTAAATCAAAATACTGCATTCACTAATTCGAAATACTTAGAGGCATGGGCCGAAAGACAGCTCTGTGATTGGACAGATTCATCGCCCAGTTGCAACGTTACCTAGAGGAATTGCAACCCACAACCAGACATTTGATCAATTGATACATGGCGAGTTAAATAATAATTATTGTCACAAATAATTTGCGGAACATTCCTGTTTGGATATTTACCAGATCAACGCATGTTGACTGTTTGCGACGCCAGTAATCGATAGAGAAGGTACGGCTTTATATTATGCGAGGTCCGGACATTAGGATAGATGGTAAAGCCAATATATTAGAATTTGCAAGTTAGATTAGTTTTCTAATGAACGACTTTATGGTTCGTAACGAGGAAGGGAGTTAGTCACATAGTTTGAGATTTTTTTATGTTTTTGACGTCTGTTTGTATAGTCTGTCACTAAGGTTTTGGAAAGTCTTTCTTTCAAAGTTTGATAAGTTTTAGAGAAATTTTTATTACGATTTTGAATAGGATGTATTTTTTTAAAGGAAAAAATCATGAGATAAATATACAAAGCATAGAGTAAAATTATATAAAATTGGAAAAATAGAGTCTATTTCCTTTGGAGAAATTTTTGAGTGATATTACAGCTTGAGTCATCCTAAAAATAAACTCGGTATTAAACTGAGAAATGAGAGTTTAGTGATAATTTTGGAGTGATATTACCTAGTATTACATTGTGCAAAGGTGGGAAAAATGCGGCCTTCGTAAGTTTTTTACGCGGCCTTCATAAAAGCTAGCAGTTGTATTAATTATTATTTAATTATATAGATTACAACAATTTGTAAATCAATGGAATTAAATGAGGAATGGCATGAATATGTGTGGGCTTCCATGACTTCTTGTAAGAACAGCCAATTGTATATTTCAAATGTTAGAATGCCACCATATGCAACATGGCAAAACTACCAGACATCTCATTTAGAGGAAGTTTGTGATCCAAATATATATATATATATATATATATATATATATATATATATATATATATATATATATATATATATACGTAAATAAAAATATCAACAGTGAAATATAGAATGTTACAAGGATATTTATGAATTTGATAATTTTATATAAGAGAAAATAATATAATCAACTTATAAATATTACAGCAAGTTTTTATCCTTATACGTGAATACAAAAATATTTTATACTACAACTTTTTATGTCAAATAATATACATAGGATTTAATTTTTTTAATAATATTTCTATATAATACACACAATTTTTAAAACTATACAAATACTATAATTTCATAAAAGTTGTATTTATAGATACATCAACCTAAACGTCCTCCTTTATCATTACTTAATTTACATGAGGCCTTTAATTGTGAAAAGGTTCCCCACACCTCCGATATAGTGAGTGATTGTTAACGTCGCAACATGTGAGCTACTAGCGACGGACCTCGTAATTTTTAACCACGGACAATAAAGCAAGGACGACACCTAAGCTATAGTACTCCCCTATCCAAACTACCATACCATGTTAACGAGAGGGCTTTCAATAACAACAGATTTAACGTGTATCAGCTCCTCTACATGGATGGTTTTCAGAGACACTGGGGTTCGAACTTACGACTTGCCGGACACGAGCTCTTAATCATAATCACCACCATACCATAGCCACGTAATATATAAAAATAATGTGAACACACATATATGTGTTTATAATACCATTCACGCTTTCTTTTGCCGCGGTAGCCTAGTGGTCATAGTCACGAACTCGTCACCGGCGAATGGTGAGTTCAAGTCCTGGTGTCAATGAAGACCCCTCGTGTAAAGAGACTATGCATGTTAAATCTGTCATGGCTCAAAGTCCTCAAGTTTGAGTTGCGTGGAAGTTAGGAGAGTGGGATGTCAGTTCAGGTGTCGTCCTCCTCACTTGACCATGGTTTACAATAACAAGGTACATTGCCAATAATTCTCGTGTTAATAAACACTCATTCATTCTGCAGTAAGGAATTTATTTATCAAAAATATATTATAACAGTGCGATAAGGACCTTTTAAAAATTTTTAACCGGATTCGACTGAAACTGAAATAAAAAAAAATGCTTTAATTTTTAGTTGGCAATTGATATATTACTTTCGAATGTTTAGATCTTTGTTACAGAAAATCAAATATTTTGATAATTATAGACGTGAGAATAATTTCAAAGGGTATAATAAGTTTTATTGATCCATATCTTATCATTCCAAATGCATTGTTTTGATCTAAGTGTGTAATCGAGAATCCAACTGAGAAATGAATAATGACAGGGTCAAATTATTTGAAGTTTTAAAGTAAATGTAAGATAGCGATTTCGACTCATGAACTTTCATGTTTTTGGCATGGGGCTCAAAGATAATTTATTGCAATAAATTATCATTGCTTTCAGAATTTTTTTATACTTTTGCCGACTAAATGCAAAGAAATTATTCGGACATTGAAACATAAGCTAACACAATCTATCCGAGTTGAATGTGAGGCATAATGAAAACTCATTTTCATCACTGTGATTAATTTTATCACACCACAAGGTTTTCTACATTTTATCTGTAAAAAATGCCTCATGCGTGATCTACAAGGTAGTAAATATTTAAACTATGTTCTTTGTTATTTTTTTTCCTTTCATAGAAGTTAATTATATACCTCAGAATTTAAATTAAACAAAGTGTGCACATACAATTTCTTCTATTACGAATCTATTTTTTTAAAATATTGGCATACTATTAAACTAGCAAAAAAAGATGTGTGTGAACAATTTTTTTCTTATGTTAGGAATTCCTATGAAGTGTTTTTCGTTACTGTGAATAAATTTAAAATTAGTTTAGCGAAAGATTGAAGTGGCGTATATCCGATAGGACAGAACCCGCGACCTATGGATTCGAAGCCCAGTAACATGACCACAAGGCAAAAGTGATATCCCCAGTCCGAAGGCTGTTACTGGTTTAGTGCTGCAGTACTTTTTTCTGTTCTTTCGGCACGGCGTACAGTATCTGGAATTATATTGAAAAATAGTACAGAAAGATGTTACAGTCATTTTTCTTATCTCAGTCAAATTTCAATTCTATTATATACATTTTCAAAAATATATTAGATTTCACACAATTTATGTTACAGCTACTATACCTCGAAAAAAATGTCTTGTTTGGTAGGGGGATTAAATTAGTTTTCAATGGATAGGGGTATACTATGTAGCCAATGTGCAAAGTGTATACGTAATATTTTGTGTACAAATATTTATCAAAGTCGTTAGAAAGTAATACATCTTTAAAAGGGACGGAGGCAAGATGTCACAGTAAAAAAAGTAGTAATTAAGTTAAAGGTTTAGGAAACTATAAATAAGTTCAAATAAGTTGGGATATCTTTTTCAAAAAGGGCAGATTGTTATGTATGTATTAATGTTAAGCCAGAACTCTATACAAGGGTTATAGCGAAACTTCGTAATTTCGAATCACTGATGAGTGACGAGGGTGACACCCGAATCCATGATTCCTTTCTTAAATTCCACCGGATGACTCTTTGAGGTTGAGTTTCATTTAACTCGTAAAAGTTCCTTCATTTAGTACAGTGATTAAATGGATTCATGATTTGAACCTAAGTCTAAATTTGAAAATAACCCACCATGAAGCTAGTGATCAACATTTACTTTCACCACTTTGACAACTTGGTGATTAAAGTCCAATATATTTCATGAAAATCTCTTCTGTAGAAATCTCAAGGAAAGTAGAACAATTATTATACGATTACTAGGCTCAAAACTTAGCTCAGTTTTAAAATAAATGTAGAATTAAATTATGACTCGCGTATGGCAGGTACCAATCATAATAATGCCTTCAATCAAAAATATAAAAGAAAACTCGTATTATACGTCCAAAACAATTTCTAATTTTCAAATTGATATTATTCAATTCTTACTCTTAGTTCACTCTCTCCCTATATATATCTTGTTCAAATTCTCACTCTTTAATATAATGCTTTCTATTTATGCATTCAAGTTCAAATATGTTTTTTTAAACTTGTAGTGGATGACACTTGATGTTAATGCATTTTTTCAAATATTAATTCATTAATTTAATTAAAAAATGAATAAATAGTAACAAACAAAAATAATAGTCCAACAACATATATAGAAAGGAAAATCCCCTTCGTTTTGTCCCTGTATCGCAATGGATAGCGCGTTGGACTTCTAATCCAAAGGTCGTGGTTTTGTGAATCCCATCTGGGGTGACCTAATTTCTGAGAATGTGATTTCTTTTTTACTATACTATTTTATCAGAATAATTAAATTTAATGAATGAATAAATACAAATAAAACAAATAGTCCAACATCCTATATAGAAAGAAAAATGGAAAATCGTTTTGTATTTTGTCACTTAATATTGTGATTCAGTCTCATATTAATATATACATAAACATATTTATATTAATTGAAACTATTTAATAAAAAAATAACTAAAATAAAACTTCTTTGTTGACCTAAGTAGAAACTGACTTAATTTTTTTTATATATTACTTTTTTTTTATTGTGCAAGATACATATCTATTAAAATATTGACTAGAAACACTTTGTTTCACAATGAATTAAAACAAAAATATTATCATGCTTGCAGCACAAATTATACTTATGAAACTCACAATATGAAAATGTGAACTAAAATGCCACTGAAAGATTACAATTACAATAAACATTTTTTTTTCTTAAGACAAGAAGTTCAAACAAACAATGGAAGCTATGAAGTAATTTTATAACATCAAGTTAAAATGTTTAAAAGAAAAATAAAGCCCAACAATAGCTAAAAATGCCGAACAATTCGATTTAGGAAAGCGAAGAATATTCTGAAATAACAGTTGAATGAACTTAATTCATTATGCCATAACTTTCACGAAAGAACAGACAAAAGTCTTTTCGACATTTCTCAGGCCTCCGATTTTGCATTTCGCAAAGTGCAAGTGGAATTAATTTGACATTTTGCAGCTGCAGAAAGGACAAATGAAGATAAAGTAATAGAATTAGAATTTTTCCTTTTTGAAACCATCGTAACGAAGCGGACATTTCTTAAATGGAAAAAAATATACATATATAATTTTATTGTGTGACTTTTTATCTATTTGACTACTGCAAATGTTAAGAAAGAGTTTCTTTTTGAGGTTATGGATTTTATGCGATAAGAGATATTAAGTGTTTTTTTGTTTGAAATTATTGTGGTTTGTTTTGCAGAACAAAATAATTTTCAGCTATTACGAGGAATAATAAATTATGCTTCCCAAAAGTAATAGTTTCCATTATTTAGTTTAAACCCTTTAACCAAATAGAGAAAATAAAAATTTCTCATTGTAAAAAAGTTCAAATTTCTTCAAATATGTTTTATTTTAAAATTTACAACTTTGGTGAGTTGATTTCAGAATTTTACAAATTCTACATCTACTATTAAAAATTTTGTGCAGTAATTTGGACCAACACACGTTAAGAAATTATTAGGGCTGAAAATTTTAATCAACTAAATTAAATTGAAATCAGTGTTCCTCACATTGGAACCTAATACTCTGTAATTGGTTCCACTCGCCGACTCTGTATCGGCCAACCAAATTGCTCCCTTTCATCTCCAGCTAACCTACAAAAATCTTCCACATTTTTAACAAATTACTTAGATATAATTAAATTAATTTTATTGTTAACTTCCAAGTGTTTCTTTTTATTCAAACATTCATGCGGGTTCGCAAATCAGTGGTGTTAGACAAAATACCAATAAAGCATAAAAAATGTTTAATGAAATGGAAGAAAAAAGAAACTATATTAATGCAATACAAAATGTAAGCAACATATGTTATTAAAAATCAATTGTAAGTTTTCTAATAAAAAATTAAACTATAATCGTATCTACCAACATTTACAAAATATTTGTTTGTGGTCTAGACGATAAGAGAAAATTGAACGAAAAGAGAGTCGAAAATAGAGAAGGATCACTAGGGTATCCCTGGGTCGTGAAACCCGTGTTTATCAAAGACAGTAAACCCTTTGGGAAAGGATCACTAGATCACCTCGGAGTTGTGACACCCGTACTCATCTAAAGATGAGCCCGCTGAGAGTGGGCTATGGGTTGAAGATCTCTAATTTAGTCGAAAGGGGGCAGTCGATAGATAGAGTCGGTTTATACCTACATTTGAAAAATTGCTAACCAGTGAGTATGATAATATGTTATAACGTATGATAATATACTGTCATTTAAAATGCTCGTACTTGGGATCTAATTTTGTATAGAGACTCGGGTTCTCAAGGAGTCTCTTGAACCGTCACTGTCTGTATAATAAACCATTTTGTCCAGACGGCCTATTTCCTGAATGCAAGCCCTTGTTGCCTGAACAAGGTTTTTCAGAAGTTTTATACGTCAATCGATTATATTACAATGACAAATACTTTTTTAAAAAAAGAGATAATTCATCCTTTTAATAATAACATTTCCCCTTAAAAATTCAGAAATTATAATTAGAAAACATACCTTTGCACTTACGTTATTTTTAACGGCTATCTATTTACGGGTGAATGCTCCCAGAAGGTAAAAAAATGCTATAAATATCTTCCCAGAAATCTAATTATAACAAAAGAATCCCGACTCAATTTATTTGTTCGAAGTTTCCACGCATCTCATTAAATATGAATCAAACGAGACATTACAGTCGCGGCGAAAAGGAATTTTTTTAAAGGGCATTCGAAACAGAGCAACACATTCGTTCATTTGAATGCAAATATTACTCATTTGTTTGGAAGAAATACAAATGAGTTCCGACGAAGTTCATTATAAAAGTTCTGTTGATTATGAATTAATGCAATATTTCTGTCTAGAATGCAATAAATTTAACGGTGAATTATGCAGAAAAATATTCGATTTTTCCCAGCAACTTATATTTGCGTAGTCAAATGAGGAACTCGCCTTTTCCTTATTTGTTAAAAATTAATTTAAGCTTGAGTTGGGAGAAATACCGAAATATAATCTGACGTCCTATCTTTTTGACTGGTAATATAACATTTTTAAATTATTAGAACCAGGGTTACAAGGTGCCCTTAAAGCTATAAAGTATTTATTTTTATGTTACTTGATGTAGCTTTTTGTAAATATTTAAAACTTTATAGGCGATGTCTTTTTTATTATTATTTAATACCTTTGTATTTATTTTTAATTCGTATTATAAAATGTTGAATAGTCAGCATTAATTAAAATGTAAATATATTAGAAATGTTCTTTTTAATTATACCTTCCAGTTGTTTGATTGAAAAAAAATTACTGAATTGATTTATAGATTCGAAACTCACGGTTTAAAAAGGCCCAATTGTTTCCCGTCTTGTCATGTTGTTGTTGCACACCCCCATCGGTCAGTAGTGCTAGACCAGGTCCATGACATTGTACACTTTCAAAAATTCCAACACCAGCAAGGGATCATCTGCTAAATCCTGCTTGTCTTGTCACAACTGTAACAGACTGTACCAAGCAGCAGAAGCACCCTCTAGCAACCATTAAAATTTTAATACGGACCAGGCGACGGATGGATATAAGGTCGCTATGAAAAATCGTCCATAAGCTTTATTCTTCATTTTTGTTAATGGTATTTGTAGTCTTTGAATATATAACCTACCCTAAACTAATAAGTAATTGTTACACTTAAGGTATCCGACTACGTTCGGAACCGTGATTTTAAAAAAGCGCATAAATGGATCATTTTCATGATATTTTTAGTGTCACTTAGATTAGAATACAAATATAAAACTGCTTTAAGGACATTTTGACAAAAAAATTCCTTTAAATACAATACAGGATGTCCGAGAAAGATCCGTACAACTTCAAAAATTTATTGAAAAAGAAACAATAGGGTTACAGCGAAACTAATTAGTACATTAGATAGAATAACTCAAAAAGTTTTTTTCCAATAACTTAAGTTATTACCTTAGGAAATTTCTACATGAGACACTTTTGTAGCACGAGCAATATCAAGACGATATTCAAATTCCATCCACGACCGTTTCAGCATGCTAATATCAACAGTAGCTACAGCTGTTTCGATGTTTTGCTTTAATTCTTCTAGACTGTTAACTTGCGTTCCGTATACAGTATCTTTAACATAACTCCAAAAGAAAAAAAAATCCAGTGGTGTTAGGTCAGGAGACCGGGGTGGCCATGAAATCGGACCATCCCTGCCAATCCAACGCTGTGGAAATGAATTATTCAGCGACTCACGAACTGTCAATCCCCAATGAGGAGGCGCACCGTTTTGTTGGAAAAGGGCATTCGGTTGAAGGTCTTGCAGTTGTGGGAATGCATAAATCTCAAGAATATCTAAGTAGGTACTTGAGGTCACAGTCTTTTCCGAGAAAAAGGTCCAAGGATGCGATAGTGAAGCAATCCACACCACACGTTCACCTTTGCACTGCTCCGTTGGAGTTCACGTACGGCATGTGGTTGTTCGGAGCCCCAAAATCGAACGTTATGTTTATTGACCATTCCGGACACATGAAACGTTGATTCATCGGAAAACAGTGTTCGATTCAGAAAATGTTCATCGGCATCCAAACGATGCAGCATGTCAACTGCAAATCCGTAACGTTTCGCATAATCATCCGGTTTTATCGCATGCAGAATCTGAACATTGTATGCTGTAAGTCGCAATCGTTTATGAAGCGCATAGTGTATCGCGGATCTTGGCATTTGTAGCTCGCGGGATGCTTGTCGAACTAATTTTGTAGGGCTCTTACGAAATGTTTCACGTATTCGTTCCACACTTTCTACGCTAGTTATAGGGCGACCATATCCTTTTCATGTTCCACTCTACCCGTTGTCATAAATTTGTGATACCACTCACGAATGCTTGACCGAGATGGTGGCGATTCCCCATACGTCGTTCGATAATTCCGTTGTGTTTGCGTATCGGATTTTGTTTCGATAAACCGCGCAGCACATTGAGCTTTCTTCACGCGATCCGCCATTGAAATAACTAAAATGCTTTAATATTCCTTTGCGTGACATGTAGCGCCATCTATGGTCAGAAACATACTGCAGAAAAAAACTTTTTGAGTTATTCTATCTAATGTCCTAATTAGTTTCGCTGTAACCCTATTGTTTCTTTTTCAATAAATTTTGAAGTTGTACGGATCTTTCTCGGACACCCTGTATTTTGGCACAAAATTAATTTAGAATAACCTTTTTTCAAAATGTTCTCCTTTTATAAAAAATGTCTCT